ATCTTGTTGTCACTGTTTTGCTTACATACATCTATACACCTTTCATTTTTTTAAGACTAAAACAAAAGATGGATTTATTGTTATTCTTAATTAAAAAGCATAACAACAATAAAACAGTAAGATACAATGACAAACTAGCTTATAAAACTTTTATTAACAAAAACGAATAAGACGAGGCATGGCATACACCACATGCTGTATTATATACCGACTAATAAATTACAGAACGTTTAGCAAACACTGAGGAATCAAATAAATAAAAAAGAGAGCCTCCATAGCATAACGTGAGGTAAACAGCAAAGATAACAAGCTTTTCAAAATGAAAACAAAAAGAAAAGTAAAAAAAAATTGCTGACAGTGCTTGCATGTTTTTTTCCCACAAGAATACCAACATGTTCACCTTTGGTTTAAGAAGCGGTCTTTTACTTTACTTTAGCATGAAACCCATCCATCGTTTCCTCAATATTCACGTCATTTTTGCTGCACGCAGCTTCGCGCTCCTGACGCGGCGAGTATAAACCAGGCTCTACACTCAAAGCGCTGCGCAGCTCAAACGAGTCGCGCGGTTTCGTTATGCTTTCGGTTTCGTTTGCCTTTTGATGTTTCTCACATCCAACAGAAATGCAGCGCTTATGAGTTAAACAATGCGGTGGTCGCGCCAGTGCGACCGCACACAAAATTTAGTAGCACCCGCAGAAAAAATTATCGCAAAATGCGCCCATTTGGTCGCACATTGGAGCCCTGTGCAGTACAGTATTTATTTATCCTCGGTTGTTCAAATCGCGGTAATCGAATACGATTATAGTGATAATTAAAATATGAAACGGTAATACTAACCGTGGGGTATTTTAATCACGATTTATCGTCAAACCGGTAATCGTTACATCCCTAGAAACGACCTTATGATTCTAAAAGCGGACACTGAGCCGATCCAGAGCCTACACGTATCACATCATATAAGGCTTGGGTGCTAGCATCAGTGGCAGATAACATCATGTATTGCAGGGCCAGGACGCTCTTGTAGTCATGCAGCAGCACTTTTGTGGAAGGTCAGTAAAGTAAGGACAATTAAGGGCACGAAAATTGTTTATTGTATTGTGATATTATTAATTAACTAATAAATGCACTAAACTAAAATGTTTACTGTGTGTCATTCATGTTCTGCATATGGTGCTTCACAGTAGCCTTCACTTAAAATCTTTAGTCTAAGATTGTTAGATGATAAAATTAGCACACAAAGTACTATGGATAAAGCGAAATGAAAATTCTGGGCCGAAACCGAAAATTTTGGATGCACTTGGCTGAAAACCGAAACCAAAAATGCTTTGTAATAATTAATTATTATTCTATTAAACAATATAAAGTAATTTTGTAAGACTTTTAATGAAAGTGACAAAAAAATTGGACAGAAAATATATTAAAGGGGTCATATGACGTTGCAAAAAAAAACATTATGTTGTGTATTTGGTGCAATGCAATGTGTTTATGCGGTTTAAGGTTAAAAAAAACATTATTTTCCACATAATGTACATTGTTGCTCCTCTATGCCCCGCCTTTCTGAAATGCGTCGATTTTTACAAAGCTCATCGGTCTGAAAAGCGAGGTGTATGCTGATTGGCCAGCTATCCAGTGCGTTGTGATTGGCTGAATACCTCAAGCATGTGACGGAAATGTTACGCCCCTTACCATACTGTGATGCAGTGTCCCGGCGCGATGAGACAACACCAATAAAACCCATTACAAACGAGGCATTTGTTGCATCCAGTGGGGACATAATTACTGATTAAATTACTTAAACTGTCTTTTTACGCGTTGCGTATCGCGCCGCGCAAACATAAAACACCACTGATTTCTAGTTGTGTCCTCTTTTGGAAGGCCAAACAAAGTAGTTTCGCTTTCACAACGAAACACACAGTGTCACACGGCGGACTTGAGTGAGCGGCGGCGGGCGGGCTTGAGAACGGCGTGTTAGAATGAGCCGTTTTAGGTAGGCGTGGTTGACTCTGAACTTTTATAAAGAATATCTCTTTGGGTTTGAGACTTTAGTCTTTGCAACTTTAGGGATCTTATCTATGCACGAACAGCTTGTAACACTCCAAAGAGAAAGGAAAATTTGAAATGGCATCATATGACCCCTTTAATATTATATATCAATACATTATTTTTATTCAGTATTATCAGAGCGTGTGAGCGGAGCATAGCAGGGAGCAGATCAGTGAATGAGAGGGTAGCGTCATTTTACATGCGTTGCCCAGTACAGCTGTACTACACCATGTTACATGTTACATACAGTAGCGCTATTGCAAACAGGAACAAGTTTCTTTTTTTATTGTGCCATTGTTTTTCTCAAAAAGTGCAAACGTGTAATACGAGGTAGGCCTGTATGAATTAAATTAAATTTAATATTGTGTGTTTGAGTAGGCCAGTGGTTCCCAAACTTTTTCTGCCAGGCCACCCTTTTGTAGTGAAAAATATTTTCATTTTAAATTATCTATTTGAAGGTTTTAACATGTAGGCTACTGTATTCCTGTGATCAAAGCTGAATTTTCAGCATCATTACTCCAGTCTTC